AGAGATAGAGCCTTAAAACCTATTCCATTCGATTCCTGAGGAAATTTAAGTTCTTTGTAGGCAGATGGACGGCTCAGAATTGCGTTTTTCCACTTCCCACACCCCATACAAGATAAATTAAATTAATTTTTTTTGGCGATTTCGTTCTTCGCGTTTATCTCGGAAACTATGAGAGATAGAGCCTTAACACCAATTCCATTCGATTCTTGAGGAAATTTGGGTTCTCTGTAGGCAGATGGACGCCTCAGAATTGCGTTTTTCCACTTCCTACACCCTATACAAGATTAATTAAATTAATTTTTTTTTGGCGATTTCATTTTTCGCGATTATCTTGGAAACTATGAGAGATAGAGCCTTAAAACCTATTCCATTCGATTTCTGAGGAAATTTGGGTTCCCTATAGGCAGATGGACGGCTCAGAATTGCGTTTTTCCCCTTATGTCACAATCTATTAAAAAAATTCTACCAAATCCAAAAATACAAAAAAAATGAAAACTTCACTTTGAAGACTTTGGAATGAACTCGGTCTCTCAACAGAACAGTAGAAGAAAATCGAACCACAAACTTCGTACAAACTTCTTACATCATCAATAATATTGGTATTTATAGTGTAAGAATTTGGGTTTTGCTAAATATTCGTCTGACGACGAAAAAACTTGGAATCCAGTTTTTACTGATGGTAAATTCCATTGCCTTTTAAAGTAGCTTGAACAAACCGACCTTGAGAGTCAGAATCCCAGCTTATCAGCTGCAGAAACTTGAACTATAGATTTCTGCGCAACCTATGAGCTGAAGAAAGTCATAACGGATAATAATTTTTTATACCCGGAATTATCTCCAAAAAATGAATATTGTTCACTATTTGTTTTCAATTCCAACATTCAGAAAGTAGGGACTTTTGCTATAAAATTCCGCACGATGAGAGAATATTTTGAAATCGTGAATACTTGGTTAATTAATTTTTATATCATTGGACAATAAACTGTAGAATCTCCAAATAAAAAACAGGTTTTCCTCAACTAAAAATCAATATACTTAATCGAGTATACTATTCAAGAATATTCCATTCTAGAATCAAGAATATTCATCATTTTCATAAGCCGACCCTCCGTATTCTTAGTTGAAGAAAAGAGTATATTTATAACTGAGGAATATTCCTCTTTCCCTCTAGAAAGGTGGACAAAAATAAAGATTTTCTCAAGAGTAATACAAACACCTGCATACAAGCCACAGCCGCACCCTCCCCCAGTCGTTAAAACCCGCGATATCTCGATGATTGGCAGCGCGTGACTCATCCGCAAGGGAGCGACAGGTGAAGCACTCCCTTTCTATTCCACGCAGAACTCCAACCAATGACCTGCGCATATGATAACAGTTTGTCGTTCACGGCGCGTTCTCGACACTCACTGGACCCCTTTGGATCGAGTGCGAACTGTTTTCCCAGTTGTTCATTAAAACCGCTCCTAAAAATCTCAAAATCCACAGAAAAAAACACTCGCGTTTTTTCCACTTGGACAATGCCCGCGAATAAGGGTCTAATCATTGCGTCGACGGCGAAAGAGAAACCGGTAAACGGTGGTGGTTTCGGTGCGTCCGGTAACAAGAAGAAGAAACAGCGTGTCAGCGTTAAAAGTAAAAAACATTGCAGGCAGTACTTGGTGAGTGAACAAAAACAATGAAGCTTAAGAAAGAGAGAGAACATAATCAAGAGAGTACGTGTTATCCCGTATGGAGCCACAAGTTGTAAATAGAATGACTTTTCCACCCCTCCCAAGATGGATAGAACGAATAGCGAACCTTGGAAACTCAAAATTTTGTCATTAATATCAGTGCAAAACACTGATGAAAAGAAATGTGTGAAGAACCAATTGGAAAACATGAATTTCATAATCGCATGATTATGAATTAATAACTAAAAAATCAAATGAAAAGGGTTTGTTAACCTCATCGCGGTTGCATGTTCTGAAAATACCCCACGCGCCTCCGAGACCGATCGATCGGAGGGAGGCTGGGGCATGGTTAATTGCCTCTTGGCCTAGAACGACTTTGTTTCAAAGTTCCTCGACCTTATAAACGTCAAAATCCATTGTCATACGCTCAATCGTCCCTATCATTAATGAAGTTGGTGTGGACATGTCTGAAGGCTTTATATACCCATGAATATATAAAAAAATCGCTAGTCTAAATTGTTTATTTCTGTATGTAACAACTATTGATTGGATGATTATGTAAATTTGAAGTTATGTGGTGTATAAATATATAATTCGAAGGAATTTATTGAGTTGAAAACCCTGCACATTGGCACATTCCCAAATCCCTGATCACAAGTAGAATTGGCACTCTAATTGATTGGATGAACTGTATTCCAATAATTTTTGGATTCCTTCATGAATTATTCCGTATCTAAAGAGTAAGATTAGAGGTATTTGAAAATTAGAATTTGAAAAGAAATCAGAAATATTTTTTTATACATTTTTCGTTGGCCTTTTTGTTGCGTTCTTATATTTATACATTCAAGAATTTTTTCGTTCCTTTGGTGACACAATAGCTGGTATTGATTGCCCGGTGGACATTGTAGTGTAAAAAATAGAGAAGAACAGAGATGCCAAAGAAGGAGAGCGCCGATTCAGCGCAAAAAACAATAAGAAAATATATCTATAAGGACAACGTTTTATCAAGGGTAGACTTCCTGAAAGGTTGACTGAGCGGTAATGCGGACGATTTATTCACTATGTCCTCGAAAGTTCACCTTTCCTCTTGTTCTCATTCATCGACTGTTTATCACATAAATTTCTTCAGTTGAAATGTTCCCTCTTGTCAAGTTGCGTATTGGGTGAAGAGGCATTTTCATTGCTCAAGCCCAAAAAGGGCTCTTTTACCGACGGTAGTTAAGCATGAGAAGTAGGTCTTTTTACCGTTGAGCAGTATAAAAGTGAGAAATGCACTACTTAGGAGTGAAAAAGTGAGAAATGCACTCCTTAGGACTGAAAAACGTGTGGCGCCACCCAGCGTTAATGTACCGAAATATAAAACTACATATAAAAACTGATAAATTCAGCCAGTGAATCCCCTTCATTATCTTCAAAATTGTTAAATTTTAAATTTGAAAATACACCTGAAAATTAAAATGAAAAATAAATTATTAAAAAATCTTAATTTTGATAATAATAATATTAGAAATATCATTTCATAGAAAATTTTTTATTGAAACTCTGAAATAAACTACAACGTAAACGCAAGAATAATACTCATAGTTTAAATAATAAAATCTAACAAAACAATCAGTTATGCCCATCTATCTCAACTAAGATCTCGAGATTCACTTATTTTCCTTATTTTCTTTATCAAATACTTTAAAATTTGAGCAATTGTAAAAATTGAGATTGATATTTGGATGGGAACGTAGAAGTTGATTCAACTGTAGATTTGGAGCAGGATCTGGTGAGACATCATGAAGTGGAATTGGTGAGATGTCGTTGATCACAGGTTGGGGAATACGATTACAGAGAGATGATGGTGATTTGTTGGCTTCTCTTGGAGTTGGAGGCCTTCGGCGGCCTCGTCTCCGACTCACGTGCCTCGTGCGCCTGTACTCCATCAGCGTTGAATTCAGCACTTCTCCGCCTTAGCACGTAATATACTATTTTCAAAGGGAATTGTCTTACCGACTGCTGGAAAGGCAGATGTTTGCTGGTAGAGTAGATAAAAAGATTCTTTATCAACTACAGAAAACAACGGATTCTGGATAAGAGTTCTTAATTTCTCTCGGCCGGATATCCTGAAGACATTTCGGCGTCTCCCAAATTAGATCTGCTCGCAAATTCCTTTATCCATTCGTGACACGTTTCACCAAGACGGGAATCGAATGGGGCAACGACCATTCTTTCCTCTCCACTTTTATTTCTTCCATTTCTCGTTTGGCAAAGGTGCAACCAAGAATTGCTAAAGTGAAAAACTTTGTCAGCAATCACTTATTTAAAAGAACTGCAGCAGTACCTGTTAAGATTAACAATGAAATGGAGAAAAAGAGCGAAGATGATATTCCATTGAAAGTTGAGGGGATACGGAACATTTTTTTAAAGTTTTTTTTTTTAATTTTTTGTTTACTCCCTGGTAGCTCAGTTGGAAGAGTACCCGGCGCGTAACTGGGAGGTCCCGTTCGATTTCCGGCTGGGTGCTGCCGGAATTTTTTCTCTCTACAATTAGAATTCTATTTGAATTCTATTCTTTTAATGGGTTTCAAGAAGTCAACAAGATTTTGACAGAGAGTAGTTGAAAAAGGAGAATGTCCTTTCATGATTCTAATTCACCATGAAAACTTCACTTTGAAGACTTTGGAATGAACTCGGTCTCTCATAGAACAGTCTCGGTCTCTTAAAAGAACAGTTGAAAAAAATCGAATCACAAACTTCGTAATCCGCAATGACTTGGCAGATTTACTCTAAAAAAATTGGTAATTCCGCTATATTTCAGCTCGTTTCATTTCGATAAACAATGAGAGAATGCCATTGCCTGGGACACAACGCAATTTCCTCTGAAATATATTCCACAAAATTATTTATAAAAAAACCGTCCATATCAGACTATCACTTAAAGAAGAGCTACTGCTCCAAATCTCTCGCTCTCTTCAACCCCTCAAAAATCCGAAATTAATTTTCAAGTGTAAGTTCAATGGGAGGATTGTACATAAATTTTACATACTGCTATGAAAATACATAGGTAATGATAATGCAAATAGTCTATCTGGTATATCAGAGGCTCTCGAAAGTCGCTCTGAACAAAGTATAACTTCGAGGGAGACGAGTAATATAAAGTGGATGTCAAGTGCATATGTAACCGTGAGCGATGTGCCAAAGTGTGAAGAGTACCCACAATCAGTAAGCAAAAGTGAAAAGGCCAGAGTAGGGGTCGGGGCAAAGTAATAATATTTTTCGTCACTGTGGCGAAGAAAATTTTGCTGACCAATATAAATATAAAACTCTCTATCAGCTCGTCCTGCACATATTTTGTCACATCTGGCGAATCACATATTCGCTAGAAGAAAAATTGTCACTCAGTTCGTGAAGCCCCGCTTCACGCACGCTGCGCGTGCTAAAAAGCTGCTCACGAATGTCGTGGCGAAAAATATGCTTCGTCACTGTGTCAAAAAATACTATTTCCGGGCATTCTTCTTACTTCTTCTTCTGCTCTATTCGTTATGGTTATATCTTCAACGGGCGAACATCAGGGAAACGGTTCGTGCGAACATGGTTCGTCAACGAACAGTGTCTTGTCTACAAACGAAAAAAGTCACTGAGAATTAAGGAGGTGCGATAAAGAGAAGAAATAAAGCAGTAGATTTTGAAGGCGCAAAATCACCTAATAGCAATAATTAATAATTATTATTGATAATAATTAGGCGTTATCTGCGGGGGAAATATCTGAGACAATAGATGACAAGTATTTCGTGATCAGCTGGTCAGGTTTAATGTAAAACGATAGTTGATTTTCTAAAACAGATTCTCTGTTTTAAATTCTCTGTTTTAAAAAGAGGAAAAGAGCTCTGGTGGACCGTTTATCCCGTGAATTCAGGAAAGCAAGGAAATCATTGGACGACGGGCCCTGAAGAAGTGGGAAAATACAATCACCGCGAGGGCTTTTGCAGAGAGGGCAATGTTGTGGAACATGTTGGATGGATTCATTAGCTTCCAGATCACAGCAGGCACAATTGTCAAAAGGATGTAGCTTATAGCTGTTGCCTGCGATGACAAACTTACAGTTGTAGAGACTAGCTATAAATCTTATCTGCGTCTTCACTCTCAGCATAGCAATTGGGCATCTACGGGTTAGATAGGAATCGTCAAAAGAGGATTATTTCCAAACATCCGTCTACACGCGGGACCTACCACAACGACGGGTCCCTCTCCCGTCCTTGCTTATACGATTGAAGTATGAATCACGAGCCTGCCAGTGACGATCATTGTTCCTCGAAAATGAGATGGAATTCTTCTGCTGCATTGGGAGAAAAACTAAAAAATCTGTTCATCATGGGAGCTCTTCTACTGCAAGCAATATTACTCTCATTGCTTTTGTTCAAAACAATAGGATTCTTAAAACGATCGTTTTGTAGTGAATGATAATTTTAAATTTCCTCTATTCCATTAGTGTGGTGAAGCGATCCGATCTAAAATCTAGAATAACATCATATCAAAGAGAAGTGAAAATGATTGAGTTAGCGGGTACATTTTCACAAAAACATACCAGTGAAAATCGTTCTGAGAATCATTTAATGAAATGACATATCCAGTGAAAATCGTTTTGACAACGATTAAGCAAGATGAAACTGATGAAAAACTTGGTCAGGAAAATTCCTTCGGTAAGTGAGAAACTTTATTAACCATCTGTCTTGCCCCACAGTTTTCCATCTATCCTACCACCCTGACACTCTACCCGGCAACCCCCTAGGCCTCATCCAGCATCTTCAACCACTCGCCCACCTCTTACCTGCACCCGCTCACCAGGACATAAAACCAGAATGACTTATCCAGAACCAGCCTTATACAGTTACTATATTTCACATTTTTTTCAGGGCTCCTCGCCTTAATTCCGTACCCGCGAACCGGATGGTCGACACATGTAAATCGTACCTGAAGACGAAGCGGTACCTTATTGTTTCCGG